ATCCGTTTCTGCTCATTTTGAGTCGTGCCACATCAGCCAACGGAGGTCTCAAAAGCTTTACTCCATCCATGTCGTTACGGTCCTCTCTACTCTGAGGAGTCAGCTCTTCCCCAGTCACATTCTGAGTGCCTTCCAACCTGATGGGCTCATCTTCTGACACTACATCGGACAATGTTTCAGGGCTATCCATAAAGTTTTCCAGTAATATATCAGACAGTGTTTCACTGCTATTCATAAGGTTTTCACTGGCAATTCCTTTGAGAAGTGGAACCCGAGTCTGTCTAAGCCCAGAAGCTCCACTGAAGCCTCTCCACCATGGGTAACCCTGCTGGCATTCTGCAACACTGGGGCACAGCCTCCAGCCTCACAGCAACACGTAAGCCACCACAGGACGACAAACTGACAGACAAGTTGGTCTCCCTTAGTGGTTCCTGACCCCTCTGTATCCACCTTCCTCAGGCCCTGGCCATAAAATAGAGCTGCCACCAAGCAAAAGCAGACCCCAAGCCACAAGTCCACCTACCTCAGGCCCAAGACGAAAAACAGAGCCGACTCCAAGCGAAAAGCAGCCTCCAGCCCCAGGCCCACCTACCTGAGGCCCTGGCCTTAAAACAGAGCCACCCCCATGGCAAAAGCAGACCCCAAGCCCCGTGCCCACCTACCTCAGGCCCCGGCCTTAAAATAAGACTGCCCCCAAGCAGTGGGCCTACCGTGGGCCCCAGCCTTACAAAAGACCCACCCCTAAGTGAAAAGCAGCCACAAGCCCTGCGATGCAAGGCAGTAAATGAAACTATTTACTGCCCTAAAACTGTATCTTTAACCACAACTAAAAATAAAAACTTCATAAAAAAATTAATTTCATAAAGAAAAAGATTTTCAAGACATATCCGTAATAGGATCGATGTGGAAAAGCTGAACAGGCCCATACAAAAGAAGGTCATCAAAAAATTACCAACAAAAAAAAGTCCTGGCCCAGACGGTTTCACTGGAGAATTCTACAAAACATTCAGAGAAGAACTGATACCAATCCTACTCAAAGTATTCCAAAACATAGAAAAGGATGGAATTCTCCCT